GCTTCAGGAAGCTGGCAGCATGGATCCTCATTTTCCCATTGTAAATAGGACTTGATATCCTACACTGCAATTACCAACTCTCCTTCAACATCCAATGAGATTTTTGAGAGCAGAGATCACATCTTACTCCTTTTTGTATACCCACTACCAAGTGATAGTGAGAATGCACTGTCTACTGAGTCATGAAATCTTAACACATCCTACAAAAGGTGCATAACATAGAATACAAACTTTGGAATGACTTGAGTTAGGCAGACCAGATTAGGACTAAAATCCAGACTCCACCACTTAGCAGTTGCTGGGTAATCTTGGCCAAATTGCATAAGCTCTGTGAACCTCAAAATGTTCATCTATAAGACAGAGATTATAATTTCTTTCTGGTGGGTTATAAGAAATAGATCAGGTGTCATATGTGACTATACCTACAGAACTAATAGCCATTTAGTAAATATAGATATAGATATATTTTAAAATATATAATCACTATATTTTTTGGACATATATGTAAGTCTAGAAAGATAAAATTAGTGTAAATATCTAGAAATAAAAGGAAATTATTATAAAACTTATTTTAAAAAATGGGACATATTTCACTTACAAATTACTGATAGAACCATATAAAGAATCTTTGAATTTCCATTAAAATAACCATAATCTTGTTAGTTTGATAGGAGAAAACTGAGGACTTCAATATGTTTATTTACTGAAGGCAATTTAATTTTTGGCAATGAAAGTAAAAGGAAAAGAAAAAAGAAAAAGGAGGAAAAAACCCAGAAATGAAGAAAAGAGAAAGGTATTATTCCTGACAAGTCTCTGCCAACATCTAGCTCCTTAATGACTCATTTTTTTTTTTCCCTTAGGGAGAGAAGCTAATTTTGGCCATAATTGCTCTGTCTCTTGAATTGTTCTGAACAAAAATGAGCACTGAGGAAAGAGCCACACTGTCGTTTGAGCCCAGAGCCCTAGGCTCACAGTATACCTTAAGGGTCCCCGGGAGGCCCTTCTATCATAAAGGTAGTAGTAGGGTTTTGTCAAGCTTTTAACCCCATACAAAGGCCCTTCCCAGCTGCTGCAGACTGGTTCCAAGTAGAACCCTATTTTTTCTCTGGTGAACGCACAAAGCAAAAGGCAACAAAACAAACACATCAACCCCGTCCTTCAGAAGTCTTGTAAAAACCACTCACATCTGTTCTCAACATCTCTGTATTCGGCAATTTCCCAAAAATAAAGTGCATTTGTTTTCTTAAATGTAACTTGTCAATCATAAAAGATGAATCTGGGACCATTAAACTGAGCTCCATTAGAACTGACACACTTTTTTTTTATATTAATTTTTTATTTTTTCAGCGTAACAGTATTCATTATTTTTGCACCACACTCAGTGCTCCATGCAATCCGTGTCCTCTCCAATACCCACTTTTATAGAATATCACCATTGTAAAACAGCATAAATGGAGCTTGGGACAAGTTTAACAGTCCTTTAAGTTTAGATCTCTGAAGCAGAAGTAAATAGGGTTATAAACAGTACATGAACTAGCAAGAGAGTGTAGAAGCTAAGATTCCCCCAGTTTGACTCCTGGCTCTGCCACTTTCTAGCTACTTCCCCAGCTTCCTCATCTATCACATGAAGATAATTATAGTATCTTCCTCAAGTGTTGCCATAAAAATTAACTGAGATGATTCTGTATAATGCATAGAATTGCATCTAGCAGATAGTATGCCCTTAATAAGTAGTAGGCTATTATTATAGCTGTTATTATTGGCCATTCCAGATTTCTTTTTTTTTAAGACTTCATTTACTTATTTGACAGACAGAGATCACAAGTAGGCAGAGAGGCAGGCAGAGAGAGAGGAAGGAAAGCAGACTCCCTGGTGAGCAGAGAGCCCAATGCGGGGCTTGATCCCAGGACCCTGAGATCATGACCTGAGCTGAAGGCAGAGGCTTTAACCCACTGAGCCACCCGGGCACCTCTCGCCATTCCAGATTTCTGCAAAAAGCATAGACTCATCTAAAATGAAACATCTGGGGTAATTCATCCTTTTTTCTCAAACTATCACATTTCTGGGAACCATACAAGATTTAAGCCGTAAGTTGTCAACTAAGACAAAGCAATTCAGAGGATGAATTATTCCAGGCTTGCCTTGCCTGGAGTGGCCCTAAAATATTCCCTTCTGCCCAAAGGTTATTACAGTACATCCATCAGATTCTTATTGGATACTCTCCAAGGCCCAAGGACTGTCAAATCTCTAATCCACCTACTTGCGACTCAGAAGCTACTCAGCTTCATGTTCCAGGCAGCCACCACCAATCAATGAGGTTGGTAAGAATAAAATACAGCTATTTGTTATCACCAGAACAAGACACTACAACCTTTCAAGAAGGGATGTAATCCCCCTTTATAATGGTGGTACTGGGTGAGGAGTCAGGGAGATGATGACCTCTGCCCTTTAGACAAATCTCATTATACCAGAATTTCATTTCTCTACAGTCTCAGAAGATAAACCGGGAGAAGAAAACATTATTTCAGTCAAAACTGGTTAAATACTAAAGTGGGGAAAGGAGTTTAGTGTATTAATTCTTCCAGTAAATTACTCTCTATACATAAGAATAAACTCATTACATAGTAGACCCATGGCCTAAAGCTGAGCTGCCCAGTGGGTATGCAAGGGATGATTATAGGTACGTAAGAGGTAATAAAACCTTCATCTTTTGGGACAGGTAAGGTAGAGGTACTCAGGACAGTATCATGCACATAATGTACATCAGTATGCTGTGAAAATAGTATTTCATATGCGTGCCATGACTGGGAAAAGTTTGAGAATCACTGGTTTAGTAAATGAATACATTTTATAAAGTATCCTCAATTGTAACTATGGCAAAGCTTAAGCACTGGGTGAGTTATTATACTTCCATCATGGTTACAGATACGAAGATGTTCTAGAAAAATCCTACATACGTTCTTAATCTGAGAGCTCAGTCCCATAACCAAAATTCTGTTGTGATTAGCTTCCTTTGTTTGCAAGGGACAGAGATGCACATGCACTAAGGTATAGCACAGATAATGAGGGTTTTTCACAAGTAAGGTTTTTCACAAGGGAGGCAAGAATCCCATGGGAATTAAAAGACTGAGCCTATTCAGATCAGGATGCGGAAGCTAGCAGTTTGAGAGACTCCAGCCATAAGAGATTCTAAATCTTTACCCTGATATTCTACTAATAACATGACTTGGCTATGTTCTTTCTTCCTCTTTGAGGGACTGTCCTGCATTTTCTTCTAGTTGGCTACCAGTGAGTTCTGGACCCTTTATAGTTTGCTTTTGCTTATTTCTAGGTTCTGGTTTCTCATAACTTCAACCTGTTCTTAATTTCTCCTGATACCTGCTTCTACCTCATAATCAATCTCAATTTCCTTCTTTCTCCTCCCTTCCTCTTCTGTCTGGATTTTTTCAGTGTCAACTCCTACTGTTAACTCCCTGTCTTTCTTCACACTTTTCCATCCACATGTTTGAGAATAAGGCTGTGGGTGATCTTTCCAGTGTCTTTTCATATAGAATCTCAGGTCTTTTTCCAGGCCACTTACTATGCTATGGTTTGACTAAGGTCTTGGGTTCAATGCCCACTGACTGAGAGGGGCTGGAGTAACGGGTTTCAAGATATGTTCCTACAACAGAGCTGTAGTGGGAGAGGCAATTTTCCTTTGAAGATCTCTAGGTAGGGAAGACAGAATATACCTAGAACAAGTCACCTCAGGAGGGAACAAGGTTTTTATATTTTCCGTTGTCAAAGAGACCATTTATACATCCTATCTTAGAAAGAAACCCTTTTGATAATTTGCTTCTCTGTCCCTTCTCTCTTTTCTTTTTCCCATCCATGCATCCATGTATCCATCCATCCATCCATCCAACAAATATGAATCTGTCTTCAAAATAAGTGTATGAAATTGCCAATAACTGTAATGATCCTTGAGGAACATGAACCTACTATGGAAGATAAATTGTGTATGCATATCATTTTAAGTGTCCAAAGAATGCCAGAAATAAAATGTTACAAAGTTTGAAGGATGAAGATCACAATTCAGCTGGTATTTGAAAGATAGAGATCTGATATTCAAACATAAAGAACAGACTTAAAAAACAACATGAGCCTAACCCTTGAGTTAGCAGAGTTTTGCAACATCAAAACAGGTTCTGGCATTTTTAGTTCTAGAAGAAGTACATAATAATTGTGAAAAATTCAAACCAAAGTAAAAAATATAGTGTAAAAGTCTGTCTTTCATCCCTGCTCACTTACTATTTCCAAACTGGTAGGGGAACTTCTCTTCAAAAGTAACCACCATTAACTGTTTACTCTAACTTTGTCCAGACTCTTTTTTGTACTACTAAATCAAAACATTATAATGATTTGATGAGAAAGAGACTAAGAAACCCATTTTACAAAGAAGTAGGTTAAGTACTTTCTTTTGGTTAAGAAATTCTTTAAGTGAATGTTCCATCATACCTTGTTATTATGAGACCTCTGGACCTTAGCTGATCTAGAAAAACTCAATTCTGTTTTTTAAGTAGCTCTTGTCTTTTGGGGGGTCATTTTAACCAAAACTGGAAGGAAGCCAGTGGTGAGCACTCATACATTAGCTGGATGAAAAGATTCCACTTACAACAGAAAGTCCTGTATACTTCTATGAGTACTTAGATCTTTACCACATTCTTTGACATACTATAAGGTTTATTTTTGTCTCCAACAGGAGGTGAATTTTACTTTAATAATGGGATGTTGATGAAATTGTTGAAGGTTTAAGAGAAATCAGATGTATTTCTCCTCTATGACATTACTTTTTAAATAAACTAAGTATATTTTTTTATCAGCTCATATCTAATAGAATGGCCAGATGAAATTACTTGAGCCTTTTCCTTTCATAGCCACATGAAAAAGTCAGATTTCTGAAGGAACTTATTATAGAGCAAATAAGGGGAACTCAAATTACATGGATACAGAACACTTACCCCAGACTGCCATGAAAACAGCAAAGAAGACAGTGGCTCCATTGTCAAAGAGGTGGGTTACCTAGGAACATTATGAATTATAGTTAAACTAGCTTCTCATATACTGTATTTCAATTCACTTTTTTTCAGATTTTGTAAAAATAAATGAATTTTGCAGGGTTTCTTTGGGAGATATTCCTTTTGGATCATAATCAAGAAGGGGGTCCATCCAGCTATGAGGTAGTTTGGATATGCAAAAGAGAATTTGTTCCCTTTATGTGGGCATCACGTAGCTAAACATTTATCAGCAGCCCCAATAGTGCTAAGAATTTTCTTTTATGCACCATAAATACTGTTATAAGTGGACATATGGTTATACTTACTATATTTAAGACTAGGGAGGTATTATTGTTGCTGCTTTAAAGACTTCTGATTCCTATTTTTAATGGCTCATTTATTCACTTTGAAAACATGCCTATTTTGTTTGTGTATTTTTGGGCAAACATTTTCTGGGATGCCCTCTGGATTTTAATATTACAAAGAAAAGAGAGCGGACCATTAACAAAATCCACTTCCACCTTTATTAAAGCTTCAGGTAATCACTGTATTTACCTATTACACATTACACAAAGACAGCTATCAAAAACTTTATTGCTAGATAATACATTCTATCACAAACACCACAGCAGAAAGCAAAGATATTCATCCTGCAAAACTGCTATGCTCATTTCCGCCTTCAGGATAAATCACACCAATGCCATACTAAATTGAAATGATGACTGATACATTCATAAAGCATAACCTTTTTTGGATGCTCTATAGCTCTCTATAAAACATACTTTACTGTCCCTTGGAGAATGTGCCAACTTAAACAGGTCTTTTCCTGTTATATCCGAGTGTGAAGTATTTCAAAATTTTCCAAAAGTTTATGCCTTCTTTTTATTTGAACATAGGAGAGATGAGCAGCATTCAAATACCAAATGTAGATAAAAGGCAAAAGCTAATTTATTTCATATGCCAGAGGGAGTGTTAAATTGTATTGTATATTGTATTAATGCACCGAGCATTAAATCAAGCCTGAGAGTTCCAGGGTATGTGGCTGGTCTGTGCTCTCTATCAGGGTATTTGCAGGGAGTTGGTGGAAGTTGTGGCCTGTACCATTGGTGGAGATGATGGAATGAGTTGTGGTGGTCATTGTTTTTGGCTGTTCACCTTACCTTTCTTCCTTATCCTGGTAATAGATGTCTCTCATGTAGGTCACTGGGGGGCAAGTGGCTCAAACAGAATCAATTAGAGTCCTTCCCTGGGACTGACAGATAAACATTTGGACAGAGACATTTTTCTGCTGCAGTTACTTGGGAATATGTGAATCAGGAGGAGTGAGTTAGTAAGGACTTCTGGTTCCTATAAAATGGTAAGTTAAAATAGATTGAGGGCTCCCTTTGCCAAAATAAACCCTGGAGAAGCAATATAGTAGATTCTGGGAACTAGCAAAACACAAACACAAGACTGTGAGAAACCCCAGGGGAGATGGAAAGTTGCCTTGAATTAGTGTGTGTGTGTGTGTGTGTGTGTGTGTGTGTGATGGAGGTGGTGGTATACAGGGAGAGTTAGTGGCAGTTTCCAAGCAGAGTGGAAGCTTAGCTTGGAGCAATACACAAGTCCTACTCCAGCCTCTCCCTCAATGGTCATTGGAAAATTAGTGTCTCCCACCAAATCAGCTACAACAGGCCAAACCACAGGGGCTGGTTCTTGGGGTAATATCACGGATGTTCAGAGTTCTGCCTTATTGAGGAGATGAGAAGGTGCAGCCTGGCCATAAGCTGTCCTCAGATATTCTCTCCTCAGTCCAAGTCCTCTTAAACGCCAGGGCTGGTAGATTACAGTCAAGGGAGAGTGGCTTCACCCAATTCTGTTTTATTCCTGGCTGAGTTAAAAATGAAACACTGACCAAATAAGTCCTCTAGAAAAGTGCAGCACACGGTGGTGCCTGGCCACACTGTTTTCTCCTTTATTTAAACTCTCCAGGTCTGAGAGCTGAGTGCCTGGCCTCTGACCATTACCCAAAGTGGTTGACACCTCCAGGGGACAAACATGCACAGGTCAAAATAATGAAGTATGGGGGGAAGACAGCTGGCTCCAAAGAATTCCAAACTAGGCAATGCACATGTTCTGAAACAGACATTCTGTAACCAGTGTTACAGCAATGTAACCAGCAGACCAAGCATTTTTAAAAAGCATAAAAACATGCTTAAAGAGATGAAGAAGATATAAGACTCATATTGTGGCAGTCAGCAGCCAGCTTCCCGATCATGTGAGGAGAACGTCTCTGCAGAAGGATCATGTGGACAGGGGGCCAAAAAGAGACATCTGAGGCCTGGAGGACCAGGTTAGGCCTGGAGGCACTTGTTCTCAGACAGCATGAGCTATTTCAGTGTATTTTCCAGTGAAATGAGCCCATAAGTCCCTTTCCGCTTATGCCAATTTGAGGTGGGTTTCTGACCTTGCAAATGTAAAAGGTGGTGATAAAGCATTCCTGACCAGCAGAACAGCCGTTGGTTAGATTGGACCTGGACTCTGATTGGATCTAATATCCCTATGTATCCTCAACCCCATGAAATTTGTTTAGCATTTCTAATAAGAGCTTCTAAAGGAAACTCTATAGAACTTCAATTCTTTCATCTGAGACATTTTTTAAGCTTTTATTTTAGTAAGATTTTAAGGCACTACCAACTCTAAAATCCAGAATATAAACATCTTGTAGCCTCAGTATGGCACAATGATTATGTTTTGTAGTCAGATAAACCAAGGCCTAGCCAATTATCTCTGTGTGACCATGGATGAGTAGTTTTACCTCTGAGTAAAATGAGAGTAATAACATCTATCTTGAAGTAATAACATCTATCTTGAAATGAGAGTAATAACATCTATCTTGCTGTAAGGATTAGAAATAAAATGTAGGTTGCCTAGCTACTTTTATATCTATAGCCTAGCTATTATTATAATCATGATTATTGTAGATCTTACGTTCGGTAGGATAACTGCTTAACTACCTCCTATAAAATTGAGCACTCTGAACTATCCATGATGATCCTTTTAGGGAATTATTGTGGATCTCTTAAAAAGAGAACTTCTTTCAAGACATATCTTTCCACGTAAAAAACAAATATCCCCAGACATCAGTAACAACAAAAGACTGGGTTTCTGAGATTCCAGAAAGCAGAATTCTTGCACCTGAGTCATTTGAGCTCAATGATGATCTCATGCTCTTTAAACAAGATAATATTACTGAGAAAATTCTTTTGATTCTCACCAAATCTGTATTTCCCAAGCTTGTTCTATTAAATTTTCCTCACTCACTCGGGTCTATCTGTACATTCTCCAAAGGTGGGGAGAGTATTTCGTGTGTTTTTGGTCTCCCGCAGCATGTATGCACATCTTTCTAAGATCACAGCTGCCTGCTGTGGTTTGGGCTCTACACACGTAGACTGGCCACCTGCAATGCTATAGATATCATGGATGGGTGGGCTCCTGGACTGTCTCTCAAATGTTCTCTCATTTAAAACGAGCAAAACTCTGCCATAGCAACAGTATAATTAAATAGATCCAAGCTGCAGGGATTGCCGACATTCAGTAAAGTCTGCCAACCCTTCTTGTATCTGAAATCAGGGCAAGTTGACAGGTAGTGATCTTGGAAAAGTCCTCAACAGCCTGTACTCCAGCTATTGCTTTGTATTAGTGACCTGGCCCATAAGTAAAAAATAAGGAATTCTATGAATGTGTCTAAAATTTTAATAAAGTAAGGCATAACATGAAGTAACATATAATAGACATAATGATGCTATGTATTTTTTTTTTCAAATTATTTTTTCCACATATGTATTATATTAGTATCATTTTGGTCTTCATGACAAGCCATGGGACAGAGAAGGCAGGTGTCACTGCCCGCATTTTAGAGATGAGAAAGCTCAGCCTCAAAGAAACTGTCCATGTGCACGGTCAGGGAGGCATGTAGTTGAACTAGTCCTGAATCTAAATTTTTTTTTGACAATAACAATAATGAAAGAGGAATATGATGGTGGCTCTCATTTGCTAAGATCTTACCATCTGCTGAGTACTTTGCTCAGCATACACTTTATAACAATCAAGTGAAATAAGCATCATGTTCTCCACTTTGCAGATAAGAAAACGATGGCTCAGAGAGATCAATAACTTTTTCTGGGACTGACAAATGGTAAAGAGCAACGTCAAGATCTGAGTCTTTCTCTGACTCCAACAACTGTACTTTTTCAGTATGCACACTGCAGCCTCCTCTGATGAAGATCAGAGCTAATACATTTAAAATACATATACAGTAAAAAACATATTTGAATTAGAATGCCAAGTGATAGAAGTAACGTTAACTCTCTCCTACAACATAAACTCGAGACTCAAAGACTAGAAATAACAAAGAGAATATAGTTACCTTCTGTTCCTTGGGAAAATGTATAAAAAATTCAATGTACCTAAAGTGCCACAGATTTGAAATTACCTTGGCATAAACACAGCTGTCTGACAGCCTCATGAATGGACAGTATTTATCGCACACAGGACACATGATGATATCTGTAGCTTGGCAGACTTCTTTACTGGAAAAGAGAACAGAAAAGGACTGCTTTTTAATGACATAAAAGCATGTTTTCCCCTCCAATTTCACCAGAGTGCTTAACCACTAAATAAGACCCAGTAGATTATTGTCCTTACAATCTTCCTAGCCTTATCTGTTATTAAAGTAAACGAGCGCTTGCACATTTTAATAATTTGATAAGCCTACTTATTTATGAGGTTGTTTCTTGGTTTTACGTTTTAAAAAGTTACACTCTGAAAAATACATGAAGCCTAACACTGGATGTTCTACCCTAAATGAAACAAAAGTCATTCACAACACTGTAGACATTTGAAGCAATTTCCTTCTGAATTATAGGAACAACCAGGTACCTAAAAGTGCCTGCCTCAATCTCCATGTGCATAAGTGAAAACTAATAATGGAGGGATAAATCAAAATGTGATGCATTAGTTCTATGGGAAAACTACATCCCCATTAACAATTCCACCAGAGAGTAAAATATTTTTTACAAGTGGGAAAATCAATCAATCACTTTTACTTTTGCAATCACTTTTAAAAGCCACTTTTATTATTTAAGATCATTGTCCAGCCTGGCTATAAAATCTCTATGAATAGTTTAAACTATATTCTGGTGAGAAAGCTGAAACTTTCATCCTCAACACTGAATCATTCTCAAGACCTCAACAAGTTGGTAAGATGTCTTTCTGGCTCAGGTTTAAAGGGTCCTTGTAAAAACACAGAATTCATAAAAAAGCATTATTAGCCCACTATTTTGCAGGATTAGCAAAAAGAGAAAAGGTAAAAAGTCAGAAAGAGAGCAACTTTAAGCCAGTGAATGAAAGCAATTTTTTTTTTTTTTTGTGGACACAGAGTGGCTTATATATCCATAAATGTAAATTTTGCTTCCCTGGTAACTGAAGATTATAGCAGCATGGGCAATAAATGGAAGATCTAATAAACTGAGCCTTCTGAATTTTTCCCAGGAGTGACTGAGAATGAAGTTAGATGGAAAAGAAGTTCTACAATCTGGGAACATCCCAAAAGTACCACCACCCACCTCTATATAGAAGCAAAGGCAGGCTTACCCAAAGCTCCCCGTACCTGACTTGGCAGTGATCCAGAGTAATGACTCCATACAAGAAAACAAACAATCCAATGAAGGCCGCTGGGAAGAGCATGCCAGTGTACCAGCCCAACCAGGCAAAATACAACCCAATCTTCTCTCCAAAGTACCGCCTGTTTAAGACACAGGAGCCTCACAAATCAAAGTGAAGTGTGTAGAGTTAGGCATTATAATACTTTGCTCAGTCACATTACTTTGTAGTGGCCTTGCTGATAACACAGGCATCCAAGAGAATAGAGCACTTGACCAAACTAAGGCTCAGGCTTTAATTTCTTCTCCTATCGTTATATATCAGAAATAGAATGAACCCTTCCATAAAAGAACATGATTCTATACAAGCTTGTTCTGAGACCACAGAATAAACCTGTGCCCATTTGGGAAGATACAACACTTATGACTACAGAACCAGGAGATTCTGAAGTGGTGGTGACAACACATCATCTCATCTTTGCCATTTCTGTGTGTGTGCTTGTTTGTAACACATGTATTATCATTACATATATCTTTAAAAATAGGAAACAAAGTTATCATGAAAAACTGCAAACACCTCTTTCAATATTTTGTAGCTTTTTAAGATGTTTACAATGCTTGAATCACAAGATATTAGAAAGAAAAGAACTCTACAAAGATTCAAAATGATTGATACTGAGAACAACTTTTCTAAGTGATGATTTTTCACAAGTTTCAACATCTACCTCAGTAAATATTTTTCTGAGACTAACCAGTCTGCCTAGTGCCTTGAAGTGCACAAAGTTAAGGAATGTTCAGAGAATTCCTTGCTTTTTCTTTCTCAAACACATTAATAATATAATTGACTTATGTTAGAATACAACCCAAATTGTGCTTTCTATGCCTCTCAATTGCTATATTTCATTAGTTAGAAGTTAATTACTTTTTAGTCTAATATAAGAATATTCTAATATTTTTTCATTCTATTTCTAAATAAATTTACTGACCACCTGTTTCCAAATCCTAGCTTCTGTTTTCCTCTTAGAATGTCCAATAATTCCCCAAAGCTCTGAAAGGTAGACTAAAGATTATTTATCCTATCTTCCACTGTGACCCAACAGAAACTTGCCACTCTCTGAAGACTTTTCCAATGTACATTCAAATAAACAGATATATTCTTTTATTCATCCAACAAATAAAAAAATAAGTTTCATGTGACAAATATTGTGCTAGGAACTGAGGATACAAAATCAGCTTGGTCTCTGCTCTTGTGCAGCTCACAGGATGACAGAGTAGACAGACATCAATCAATTAAAGAAATAAGTTTATAATTAGAACACTGGGAAAAGGGCTTCAAAAGGAGAGGAACACAATTCCCCAAGTATATCAACCAACCATGTGACCACCCTACTTGGGGAAGACTTCTATGAGGAGGTGACTATTAACTAGGTAGACAGGGGACAGGATCAAGTGTTTCCAGCAGAGGAATCATAAGTATAAAAGACCCTGTGGCAGAAGGGACCAGGTGAAATAAGGGCAGTGTGCCCAGAGCAGCGATAACAAGAGATGGGCTGATGAGGCAGGTGGAGGCTGGGCCTTGGTGAATCTTATAAACCATGCTAAATGCATTGATCCTTGTCTTGAGAGAATGGAAAAATCATAAGAGAGTTTTAACATTCAAAGGACATAATCAGATTTAATTTAAAATATTATTCTATTTTTTTATTATGTTCTGTTAGTCACCATACAGTACATCATTAGTTTTTGATGTAGTGATCCTGATTCATTGTTTGCATATAACACTCCGTGCTCCATGCAATACATACCCTCCTTAACACCTGTCACTGGGCTAACCCATCCACCCACTTCCTCCCCTCTAAAACCCAATTTGTTTCTCAGGGTCCATAGTCTCTCATAGTTTGTTTCCACCTCTGATTTCCCCTCCTTTATTTTCCCCTTCCTTCTCCAAATGTCTTCCATGCTATTCCTTATGTTCCACAAATAAGTGAAACCATATGATAATTGACTTTCTCTGTTTTACTTATTTCACTTAGCATAATCTCCTACGGTCCAGCCATGTTGTTGCAAAAGCTGGGTACCCATCCTTTCTGATGGCTGTGTAATATTCCATTGTATATATGGACCACATATTCTTTATCCATTCATCTGTTGAAGGGCATCTCAGCTCTTCCACAGGTTGACTATTGTGGACATTGCTGCTATGAACATTGGGGTGCATATGGCCCTTCTTTTCACTACATCTGTATTTTTGGGGTAGATTCCCAGTAGTGCAATTGGTGGATCACAGAGTAGTTCTATTTTTAATTTTCTGAGGAACCTCCACACTGTTTTCCAAAGTGGCTGTACCAACTTGTCCTCCCACCAACAGTGTATGAGTATTCCCCTTTCTCTGCAGCCTCTCCAACATTTATGTTTCTTGCCTTGTCAATTTTATCATTCTAACTGGTGTAAGGTGGTATCTCAATATGGTTTTGATTTGAATTTCTCTGATGCTAAAAAGATCACTCTATTTGGAGGGTAGAGAATGGATTGGAAGGGACCAGAGTAGAAAAAGGGAGACCAATTATGGGACAACAGCCATCATCCAGGTTATTAGGTGAAGGAGGCTGTATGGTCGAGGAGGTTCTGGGGTGTGGCCAGAATTAAGAGACATGGAGGAAGACAGGAAACAACATGTGTTGGAGGGGATATGGAGAAAGGGGAACCCTCTTACACTGTTGGTGGGAATGCAAGTTGGTACAGCCACTTTGGAGAACAGTGTGGAGATTCCTCAAGAAATTAAAAATAGAGCTTCCCTATGACCCTGCAATTGCACTACTGGGTATTTACCCCAAAGATACAGATGTAGTGAAAAGAAGGTCCATCTGTACCCCAATGTTTATAGCAGCAATGGCCACAGTCGCCAAACTGTGGAAAGAACCAAGATGCCCTTCAACAGACGAATGGATAAGGAAGATGTGGTCCAAATACACTATGGAGTATTATGCCTCCATCAGAAAGGATGAATACCCAAGTTTTGTAGCAACATGGATGGGACTGGAAGAGATTATGCTGAGTGAAATAAGTCAAGCAGAGAGAGTCAATTATCATATGGTTTCACTTATTTGTGGAACATAACAAATAGCATGGAGGACATGGGGAGTTAGGAGAAGGGAGTTGGGGGAAATTGGAAGGGAGGTGAACAATGAGAGACTATGGACTCTGAAAAACAATCTGAAGGCTTTGAAGAGGTGGGGGGGTGGGAGGTTGGGGGAACCAGGTGGTGGGTATTAGAGAGGGCACAGATTGCATGGAGCACTGGGTGTGGTACAAAAACAATGAATACTGTTTTGTTGAAAATAAATTAAAAAAATGATTAAAAAAAAAGGAGACATGGAGGAAGCAAAATCTGTAGGACAAGAGCTATTTAAGAGTTGATATTTCCTAGATACTCCACAACATTGTTCTATTGGAAAATTGCTTATGTTTTTCATCTCCCTTCCTTTGGCCTATACAAATCTTACTCTCTTCCAGGCTCAGCTCTACAGAACCTTCCACAGAAGCGCCAACCCGTATCTATCCTTTCCATTTTTCCAAATTTTTATAAAACTAATCACCTTCATCACACATTTTACCTAATTGTGCATAGCCTTGTATTGTTTTCTAGTTGTTTCAAGTATGCAGAGCCTGTTGTACTGAAGGAAACCGAGTTTCTCAGATATGGTGGCTTCCATTTGTCTTTGCCAATATTATTTAGCATCATACTAGAAACACAATGGGTAGTTAATTAATGCTCATTAATTAATATCCATAAAGTCTTAATCAAAACACTGTCAAGTGAGGGTGGATATTTTGCCTGCAGTAATTTTCTGTAATTTTTGATCAGTATAATCCTGTAATATTGGGACTGAGGCTGGGAAGTGCACTTACTTTTACTTTTTTTTTTCCTCCACTGTTTTAGCATGCATTGAGACTGGTCAAAAGAAAAAAATCTCATCTCAGGAAATATTTTCCACTCACCCAGATTATCTGGATTATTTGTTACTAACACAAAGGATAGTATACAATTCATCAATGACCCTGGGTCAGTAGGAATGAATACTTAGTAACTAGGACTCTGGCAGGAAGAACGACTACCCAGGGAGATAAAATGTAAAATGAGTTGTTGTATTATTTCATTTTCCTCTGGGCTCATTTTTTTAAGGGCACTAGAGAAAGTAAGCCGAATCCATCTAGTCTAGGAAATGAGACATGATTTTCTTTTTTATAAGGAATCCATGAAGTATGGATTGTTGCCACCCAATCTTAATAACCAGTCTCTAAATAAGCAACGAGATGTCAGAGTATAATGTTGCCATGGCAGAAATTTGGACATAAATAGTTAAAAAAACATACATTTCCACTGTACAATTATCATCGGCTAAAAACTGATATACTAATATGACTTGCAGAATTAAAATAATCTTTAAAGGTTATTAGTTGAAAATTATAATAAGTCTGAAATTTATTAGAGTGATAGAACTCCATTTTTCCTACTTACGTAGATAGTAACTAATATCCCATTTTTCACTAATATATGTAAGCATATCACATTTCTGCAATTGTTATAGATAATTTGTCAATAACAGTCATATGGATGGCCTGCTCCATATAAAATCCTGTGGGAGGCCCAACTGATCTCACAGGCCCTCTCCTGAGACCTTTCTGGAGGAAGCACTATCCTAATCAGAGTGAGGTCTAGTTTACCGAGAAATACCAATGTCCTCTTATGAGTTCCCTTCTTGAGATGAAGCTAGATTTGAGTAAAAGCTCTGTAACTCAGAATTTTTCCTTGTCCCAGCTGACAGCCTGTCTTAACCATTCTGTGCAAGTTTTATATTTGCAATTGGTTAAGAACTCACCTTACAAGATCCAAAGGCTGGTATTTATACCACACACCCCAGGAGGCCCAGCACTCATAGAGCAGATGTCGATGGTTTTCCGCTCCATGGGTTCTAATGGAGTTTTTACTTCTGTAACTTCCCTGGGATAAAAACACCACTTCCATGAGGTAATATCCAAAAAATCCATAAGGAAAAGCTGACAGTAACACTAGTCTTTTATGGAAGGAGTAGTGGTAGGGGTGATGTAAGAAAGAAATGGATCCATACTATTAAAGGGAAAACAGTTATTGTGGACATAATCTTGTTGATGGTGGTATGTAGTAAAAAGTACATGCTTGCTAGGAATCAGGCAGGTTTGAGCTGAGTTCAAATTTAGTTCCACTACTTTTAGCTAGGAGACCTTAAGCTCTCTGAGCCTTAGATTTCTAGTTCATTATGGAACTAATAATTTCTGCCTCATTAGGTTTCTTTCATGGTTTGAGTGAATAAAGTGTCTTGCCTAGAGGCCATGCCCAAAACTTAGCTCTCTTTTCCATTTGTCTCAAGACAGGGCAGTTGGTAAACTGTCACAGCGGTATATCTGCATTATCCATACAAAACCCCTAAAATATAAAAGATGGATGTAACCTTAAAATTACAACAGTTCAAATCTAATTCAGCCACCTCATGGGACAAATGAGGAGACCAAGGGCCAGACAGGTACAGGTTTTTCTGAGTTCAGTTAGTGGTGATGTTAGCTTCATAAACAGAAAAAGTACTTTCTGGAAGTGGACTACTTATTAACACTAACCTGAAAAGGTCTTTCTTAGTGGAAGGTGAATGAGGCTGAGAGACAAGAAACTCAGGTTCTAGCCTCAGCTCAACCAATAACTCACACAATAACTAGGGGGGCAACTTTTCTCTAAACCTCTATTTAAATTTTTAACATGAAACAAGGGCAACAATATCTGCCCTTCTTGCTTTTCTGCTTTTGAAGGTCATTAGGATGTTAAATAATATAATTATGTTAAACTGAGAGTAAAGTTCAGAAGTGATTATGTTACTATTGCTGGTATTACTACTTTGGAAGGTCTCTTCTCATAGAATACAGGGCTTTACTGAGATGTACAAGCCCAAGAGAAGAGGCCTTGAATTACTCTATGTGGTTACAGAATGCATCTTCTCAGACATCCTCATACCTGCCACCTACTCACCTGCACAGATATTTCTGCTCACCTACCATGCTCAGACCCTGCCCTCACTATGGGCAAGGGCCCAGCTGTGGGGGGATGCAGTTGTCACTGAAACCTTTTTTGGCCAATCCAATGAATAACTACAGGAAGCCACATGATGTTTGTGTGTATGTGGGGGTGAGAATCTGTCTTGAAAGTTCAGAATCACCTGTGTGTGTCTTTAGAAAACCTTTGGGTCAAAAGATTTGCTTTTGTCATATGAAAATGAAAATTTTCATATGACAAATTTCATATGACAAAAAAGCAAATGAAAATTTGCTTTTGTCATTCCAAAAATGTTTCATGGAAGTCTATAAATAGGGTGTGAGGCCAAAGCTTCTAGTTTTCTTAATGAACAAGATTTGTAAAATTCCCCATTGTCTTTGCATCTTTGTGGTGTGTAAAACAACAGAAACAGCACTGTAAGCCAAACAACAGGTATGTTTTGGAAAGACTTGCCATTTGCAAATTGTTGGAACTGTTCTGCAAAGTTTACTGGCAAACTGTTAAAAATTGTTTCCAGTAGAAGATTTCTGGAAATAACTCCCAGGAGGTCCAGCCTCACTAGTTTGTAAGGTCCTACAGGGGATGGGCAAGGATAATTATCTCTGTGCTCTCTTTGTCACACAATGACTGGTACAAAGTAGGGGTTCAACACCATGAAGATGACAACAAACTCTCACCAATGGCAAGGATTATGTCCCTAAAAACCTATGTGTACAAGAGAATTCTGGGTTAAATAAACCAAGATTAAATGGGAAAAGTAAGGTTAAGGATAACCAGACTTATATTTCTAAAGTCCTTATATATGACAAAACCCATGTAGCAAATAAAGAAAATATCAAAATTTATATATCTTAAATGAGAAATAATAGGTATAATATTATTCATTTCCATTCACCACCCTTTGATTACCAGAGGCTTTCCAAGATGACTCCCTCCTACTCTCTAAGGAATAGCTATAAACTTCTTATTTACAAGACTATATGTTTCAGAAACATTTTCCCCACAGGTCTGGTGCCTCATGCAAATTTTCAATGCTTCTTTATTTTATGACTTGGAGTCCTTCATTGATTCCTCTGAATTCATGCTGAGTGACTCCTGATTCAAGTATTCTTACAATTACATAATAAAGATATATAGAAATAAATTTATGCTGGGGGAGAAACATCACAATTCAAGTAGGCCCTCCCTAATTATCCATTGAAAAAATTAAATTCATTCTGAACAAATGTCATATCAACAAACTCAATTAATGACTATTCCCAGAAGCTGATTTAATAACAAGAAATTGACAGAGGAAAGGCAGGACAATACCTCATGCAGAGGAAATGCAGCTTCATAGGAGCCATTGGTAAGCAAACGATTCAGACCTAGAACAACAAAAAAGTTCACTTTGAATTAATACTGAGTTTGAATTCTCAAAACATTCAACACTAATATAAGGGTGATACTTTTGGAGAAAACAATCTAAGCTTTCAAATGTGATTCAAACCCAGCTGGGGACTCCAATAGTTTAGAAAGTTTTTCTATCTGCTAGGAAATCGGAATCAAGGGCTGGGAAACTGGATTTTCAAATAGAAACAAAACAGTGAAGCATACTCAGTACAGTGTCTGGCACAAAGATGGGAATGTACTGAGAAAGTGGATGAATTTATCATACCCCCCAAAAAAAGGTTTTCTACCAGTTCTTTTTATATCTTTATTCAGAAGTTTAATGTGGATAAATCTAGCCCTTCCACAGTGGACTAGCGGTGTGATTTTGAAAAATGTCTTCTTGTCCTCAGGCCTCAATTTTCTCATGCATAAAAGGGGGGAGGGGTGCTGGGTATATGACTTTTTTTTTTTTTAGAGAGAGAGAGAGCACATGAGCACAAGGGAGGGGAGGGGCAGAGGGAGACAGAGAGAGAGAGACTCTCAAGCACGCTGCAAGCTGGACATGGAGCCTGATGCAGGGATCGACCTCACGACCTTGACTGAGATCATGACCTGAGCTGAAATCCAGAGTTGGACACTTAACTGACTAAGCCACCAAGGTGCCCTGGATATGTGGAATATTTTTTTAAAATACCTTTATTGAGGCATAACTGACATACCATAAATGGCACAGATTTAAAACATACAATTTGAGATTTGACTTATATATGCATACCTGAAACCATCAGCATAGTCAAGATAGTAAGCATATCCATACCCCAAAGTTTTATCATGCCACTTCATAACTACACTCCTCCCTATGCCATCTCCAAGGTAAACACTGATCTTTTTTCTGTCATTATCAGTTTGCATTTTCTAGTTTTATATAAATGGAATTATACAACATTACTCCTTTTTATCCAAATTCTTTCACTTAAGATAATTTTGAGATTCATCCATGTAGTACCTCTTTTTTTTTAACTGCTGAGTATACCATCATATGGATCTATAACTGTTTATCTATTCCCCTTAATATTTGTTTCCAGTCCTGAACCATTACAAATAATGTTACTGTGAGCATTTATGTAAAAGTCCTTATATGGATATCTGCTTTTATCTCCCTGAGGAAAATACTGAGAAATGGAATAACTAGATCATATGGTGGGTATATATTTAACATTATTTGCCATCTGTATATCTTTTCTACTGAAATATCTGTTAAAATCTTATGTCCATTAATTTTTTTTATTTAGTTATGACTATTTTTTATATATTCTAGATGTCTTTCATTAGACATATGCTTTGAATTTTTTTTCTCATAGTATGTGGACTCTCTCTTCATTCTTTCAAAAATATACTTCAAAAATCAAAAGCTTTAATTTTGATGAAGTCCAATTTATCCAATTTTTTCTTTTATGAATTGTTTTCAAGAAATTCCAAACTAACATAAGGCCATGAAAATTTTCTTTGGGGTTTTTTATAATTTTAGGTTTTATATTTATTTTTTTAATTTTTAAAAGATATTATTTATTTATTTATTTGAGAGAGACAGCACAAGTGGGGGAAAGGGACAGGGGAGAAGCTGGTTCTCTGCTGAACAGAGAGCCCAATGTGAAGCTCGATCCCAGGACCCCAGGATCATGACCTGAGCCAAAGGGAGATGCTTAACTGACTGAGCCAACCAGGGGCGCCTAGGTTTTATATTTAGATCTATGATCTATTTAAGTCAACTTTTATATATGGGTTCATTTTTTTTTTTTTTTTGCATATGGGTATGAATTGTTCCAGCACCATTTTTTGAAAAGAGAATCCTCTGTCTACTGAATTCTCTTTGAGCATTTGTCAAAAATCAATTGTCCACAGATGTGTGGATTGACTTATGGATTCTCTATTCTGTTCCACAGATCTATTTGTCTATATTTACATCAACACCACACTCTTTTGATTACTTTAGATCTATAATAATTCTTGAAATCAAGTAACATTAGCTCTCCATTTGTGCTTTTTTTCTTTTCAGAGTTACTTTGGCTATTCTAGGTTATGAATATTTTAATCAGCTTGTCAATTTCCATAGACACATACACATGCACAACCTTGGGAGTTTGAGATTGCACTGAATCTATAGATTAAATTGGGTAGAATTGACAATATTGAGTCTTTTGAGCTATGAACAGAATGTATCAAGATATATATATTAAAATTTTAAATATCTCTCACAAATGTTCTGTAGTTTTCAGTGTACACACCCTACATATCTTTTTTAAAGATTTATTTATTTGGGAGAAAGAGATGGGGAGAGGCAGAAGGAGAGGGAGAGAGAGTCTCAAGCAGACTGCACTGAGCACAGAGCCCAAATGTAGGGCTCAGTTTCAGGACCTTGAGGACCCTGACCCAAGCTGTAACCAAGAGTCAGATGCTCAGGGCACCTAGGTGGCACAGTGGGTTAAAGTCTCTGCCTTCAGCTCAGGTCATGATCTCAGGGTCCTGGGATCGAGCCCCGCATGGAGCTCTCTGCTCGGCAGGGAGCCTACTCCCCCCTGCCCTGCCTACTTGTGATCTCTGTCTGTCAAATAAATAAATAAAATCTTTAAACAACAACAACAACAAAAAGGGTCAGATGCTAACAAACTGTGCTGCCCAGACACCCCTTACATATCTCTTGTCAGATAAGTATTCCATTTTTTGGATATTATTATAAATGGTATGGTCTTTAAAATTTTAATTCCTTAGTGTTAGTTGCTAGTTTATAGAACTACAATTGAGTTTTGTATTTGTTTTGTTTCTTGCAACAGAGCTTTACTCATTCTACTAGTGTTTTTGTATATCCTGTTGGAGCTTCTATACAGATGATCATGTCATCTGAGACTAAATACAGTTTTACTTCTTTTTTCAGTTTGGATGCCCATTATTTTTCCTGTCTTACTGCATTTTGGCTAGTGAAATGATGAATGTAAGAGAAGATATACTTGTTCTGTTCCTTATCTTCAGGGGAAGCTTTAGTTTTTACCATCAAGTACAATGTTAACTATAAGTATTTTATAGATGTACTTGACTAAGGTTGAGGAAGTTCCTTTCTATTCATAGTCTGCTGAGTTTTTATCATGAACAAATGCAGAATTTTGCCAAATGTTTTTTTGTATCTGTGGAGATGACCATATTATTTTCCTTTTTCACTTTGCCAAAGTTGTGAGTTATGTTAATTTTCAAACACTAGGCCAACCTTGCAGACCTAGATAAGCCCTACGTGATCATGATGGATTATCCTTTTTACATACTGTTGTGTTTTATTGACTAAATTTTGTTTACAATGTTGGCCTCCATATTCATGAAGTATATTGATTTGCAGTTTTCTAGTACAGTCTTTGCCTGGTTTAGGTACCTGAGTAATACGGCTCTCATATTCTCCACACTTCAATTTTGTGAAAGAGTTTTGTAAAACAGGTATTATTTCTTTCTTGAATGTCTGATGGAATTTACCAGTAAGATAATCTGGGCCTGCAGGGGTATTTCTGTGAGAAGATTTTCAAGTACAAATTCAATTTCTTTAATCCATATGGATCTAATTAGGTTCTTTCTTCTTATTTTTCATGCTTATATATATATAAGCTTATTTTTTTAAGTTTTTATTTAACCCCCAGTTAACATACAGTGCTATGTTTCAGGTGTATACTGTAGCGATTCAACACTTCCATATATCACCCAGTGCTCATCATAGTGTACTCCTTAATCCCCATCACCAGTTTAACCCATCTTCCACCCACATCCCTTTTGGTAACCATTAATTTATTCCCTATAGTTAACTATAACTTTTTATATATTGTTTATATATATAAAAGTTTATAACTATAAACTTTTAATTGTTTATTGGTTTACCTCTCTCTCTTTTTGTCCCTTTGCTCATTTGTTTTGATTCTTAAATTCCATATACAAGTGAAATCATATAGTATTTATCTTTCTCTGACTTATTTTGCTTAGTATAATACTCTCTAGCTCCACCTATGTCATTGCAAATGGCAAGATTTCATTCTATTTTTATGGCTGAGTAATATTCCATTGTGCATATATACCACATCTTCCTTATCCATTCATCAGCTAATAGACACTTGGGCTGGCTATTGTAGATAATGCTGCTTTAAACATTTGGGTTTGTGTATCCTTCTGAGTTAGAATTTTTTGTATTCCTTGGTTAAATACCTAATAGTGCAATTGCTGGATTATAGGATAGTTCTATTTTTAATTTTTTGAGGAATCTTCGTACTGTTTTCCAGAGTGGCTGTACCAGTTTGTATTCCCACCAAAAGTGCAAGACAGTTCCCTTTTCTCCATATCCTCACCAACACCTGTGCGATCTACACATTTAATGCAATCCCTATCAAAATACCAAAGCATTTTTCACAGACCTTGAACAAACAAAATTTACATGGAACCACAAAAGACCCCAAATAGCCAGAGCAATCTTGAAAAGGAAAAGAAAACCTGGAGGCATCACAATTCTGGGCATCAAACTATATTACAAAGTTGTAGTAATTGGGGTGCCTTGGTGACTCAGTTGATTGAGTGTCTGACTCTTGGTTTTGGCTCAGATCATGATCTCAGTGTGGTGGAATTGAGCCCTGCATCAGGCTCTGCACTCAGTGCAGAGTCTGCTTGAGATTGTTTCCCTCTGACCCTCAACCCACTTGCTTTCTCTCTCTCAAATAAATAAAATCTTTTTTTAAAAAGCTGTGGTAATCAAAACAGTATGATACCGATACAAAAATAGACACATATATCAATAGAACAAAATAGAACACCCAGAAATGAACCCACAATTATATGGCCAATTAATCTTTAACAAAGCAGGAAAAAATATCCAATGGGAAAAAGTCTCTTCAACAAATGGTGTGGAGAAAACTGGACCATTGTCTTACAATATACATAAAAATAAATTCAAAATAGATTAAAGATCTAAATGTGA